AACTGACACCTTCAAACTCAACTGAAATTTCCAGCTGTCCACGTGGATTAGCATTCTGGAGAAAAGTTTTATGGTTGGATTAGACAAAGGCAGAACTATCTAGCCACAGTGACAAGAAGCATGATTGAAGGAGTAAAGGTGAGGCTCTGGGGATGGTTTACAGTCACTGGTGCATTATGAAAAGTGGAAAGAGTAATAGAGGATGACGTGTACCTACAAATTCAACTTCACCTCAAACCAACAGCTAGACCAGTTGAAACCTAAAAACAATTAGGTTTTTACTTCAGTTAATTTTATTTTCAAGCGTTTATGAGCCCTGATCCACAGGATATTTAAGGGCTAAAAAACCCAAACATTTTACCTCTATTAAAAATTACAACCACATCCAACCACTCCACACAAAGGCTCAGCAGGACTTTGCAAACCTCTTAAGTCATGTCAAACTGGTTTCTTGAACTTGATAGCAAGTTCACTGTACTCAAATGACCTCCACGTCATCAGATCTCAATCCAATAGAGCAGCAGTCCCTAACCCCCGGGCCTCGGACCGGTACCGGTACCATGTGTTATGAATAAATTTTCTTTTTCGGTACCGGTACTAGTTTTATTTTGTTGTAGTTATCCACGACACCTTAAAGGCCGGTCCATGAAAATATTGTCGGGCATAAACCGGTCCGTGGCGCAAAAAAAAGGTTGGGGACCGCTGCAATAGAGCACTTTTGCAATGTGGCGGAACATGAAATTCCAGTCATGGATGTGTAGCAACTGTGATGCAATCATGTCACTCAAAATCTGAGGAATGCATGGAGCACCTTGATGAAATTATGCCAAGAACTCATTCCAACTCAATTTTATATAGTACTAAAACACAGCTACCTCAGGGTGCGTTATATTGAATGCTAACCAATCAAAGCAACACTGAAGTCAAAGTGTTCCAAGCTGTTATAAGTGTACGTATGCATGCTGCACAACTAGAATAGCCATAAATAAAAAGGTATTGCCACTACACAACTCATGTTACACCAAGCAGTTTGTTTAAAATGGCTGAATTACCTCCTCAAAAGGTCTTGAAATTCTCCAGAGGCCTGGTAATGAACTAACCATTTGATTCAGGTGTGTCGACCCAGGGTGACATCCAAAACCTGCAGGACACAGGCCCTTGAGGCCTCCAGTTCCCCCATCCCTGCTCTACACCAACTGTTTTTGGAGTTTAATCAGACCTTGTGACTTGATGTCAAATATAGGATGTGCTGCAAATATAGGACTTGAAAAGTTTGCCTTTAAACCATCTTGAATCATTGCATAGCATGTGACTGAAAATGAATCTACTCAAGTTTCCTCACGTAAACAGCTTTATTAAGCAACAATGCAGTCTGACTAAACAGTGAGGATGCTAGACGCGACGAAAAAAAAAAAAAAAAGAAAAAAAAGGGGGGGGACATATCACATCAACGTAGTCTGCATCTGGCAGAAGGCATGAGTCACATTGAGGGAGATTAAAAAAAAATGTTAAGAACAAATTTAAAAAGGGAAATGCCTAAACATGCTTGCATATGCAGTAAATACAAATTATAGCTTAAAAACCAGACCATGGAATGTCACTGGGTGATCTAAACGTTGGACCAAGATTGTTGGTGGGTCTTGTTTCCTGTCTGGTGGGAGAGAGACAACAGTTAGAGAACAAAGAAAAACTACTGTTAGCCGATTCAGACTGATGGAAGAGCTGACTTACTTTGGCCCAATGGTTTTGGTTTCACCCCACACAAATGGAGGAGCAGTGTTATCTGCCTCTGCAAGATGGGACAGTTTCCTTAATACTTTCACTAAGTATTGTCTCAATGTCTCAGGGTGCAGCACAAAAAGTTTATATTTCAGGTGCATTTAGACCCAGACCCATTCTTAAAATGGAAAGTATTGTTTAACAGTCAGAAACTGAAGGGGGAAAAGCAGTTTTCAGACACAAGGTTCGAAAAAGGTTGACCTAGGTGAGAAATGGGATATTTCACATTTTACACAGTAGCAGTTCATCACAACAGCCCTGAGCAATCTTCCAGAGTTAAAGAGTTTTATTCAGTAATAATTACTAAAACTAGCAACCAAGACCATTAACCCAGATGAAGTGTTTACAGAGGTCACAGATCAAGTGAGCGTAAGCTTCAAGCAGGAGGAGCAGTTGTCTTCAGCTTTCCATTACAAGGAAAACGAGTCTAAAGCACTTTAACGCTTGATTCACACAGCCACGTAAGGGTTAGTCATCCTTGTGCCAATACCAAGATGATGAGGTTATAAGTCATACCTTGATCCCAATCCTCAGTCATGTTTGGGTTAACCCAAGTGCTGACTGGGACATGCCAGTTACAAGGTCCATTTGAACTTGAACTTCCATCTGTAACAGGGGTGCAAAATAAGAAATATTCACGAGGTTAAACATGATTAAATTTAAGTTAAAGAAAAAAAAAAAAAGCAGTCTTACCTTCTTCCATGTCCACAGGAACTCTGTCCTCGCAGGTCTCAGTGTGGTGAGCCAGCTCATGTTTGGGGACCAGGTGGCGAGCATTAAAAGGGCAGGTTTTCAGTTCACGCGCCAGTTTGGGATGGTTCTGCAGAGAGTTTATATAAACAATCAAACTTTCAATCATGGCTAAAGTTTCATTCAAGCCAGGAAATTACTCAAGACCAGTACCAGCTTCGCCACTTAGCAATTTTTATTCTCCCTCATCCACCAGTGGAGAAAATTTGGCTACTTTTGCATTTTGATGTTCTGCTGAATAAAAATAATTGTAAGCGCTGGTTCAGTGGTTAGATTATTCAATAGGATCCTGTTTAACTCAGCTGCATGAAATCCAGAGGCCCTTCCAAGATTTAATGTTTGCATTGTAATGGCTGCTGTGAACATCTAACAAGGCCAAAGTCTCTTATAAGATTAAAACCCATCACTGGAACTACGGAAACTAAAAAACAAAACTAAAATGAGTAAACTCAATTTGACAGACTCATGTAAAATAGAAAGAAAATACAACTAAAACCTAAAATTTTAAAGATACTAGCACTTGACTCACCTTCCTGCACTTTATGATGTGGTAAGGAAAGCGGCTGGACCGGATCTTGTGGTTTTTATCAAAAGGGCACTGAAGAAGTTTTTCTGGGTCTGTGTTTCCTTTCCCATCTTTAAAAGGGGGGAGAAGCAAATGCATTAACTTAGGATTTAAAGTACTGACAACATCTTAATGTTAAAAAAAAGTTTCACCATATTCCTCCACCAGCTGTGCTGGCTCTGCAGAAGAGGTCCTGCAGGGACTGCTGGTGCTTCCAATTACGAAATTGCTCGCCATCTGTAGCTGGAATTTACTGTGGGCAGGCAAACAGTTTAAATTAAAATATAACCACCACCCCCAAATAGACACGCAGGAATTGTGTAAGCTAAATGCTTGCACTTTGGTAATGCCAACACATGGCACAGCATTCACAAGCTGCATAACCACATTAACCCTTCAGCTCTGCAGGTGTGCAACATTTTTCTGTTACCCCAAAGTGAGCTTAACTTAGCCTGCTGGTTTGGATTATTTTTAAATATAGAGAAGAAGAAAAAAATACTCCTAATGTGTGTACAAAGACAGAAACATGAGTGACCTTAGTGAATGAAGCTAGCTCTCCCCCCCCAACTCTTTGTGTCTCAGTATAGGTGCAGGTGGTTCCTACACCCCCAGTTCTTCTTTGACCTGATTAAACATCCCATGATAACCAAATATTCACGTTTGACTGATATAAAGCCATTCTATATGGATAAAATAAGTCGCAGAGCTAACTCGTGGACACACTACACAGTACCTAGCTCATCAAACGTTACCGTAAAATATGCAGCAAGAAGACCTGGCCTGTTTCCAAAGTCTGTTAGCAAAAAAGTTGCCTAGCTACTCAGCACATTGCCTGAGACACTAACACGTGAATTTTAAACACCTGCACTTAACTTTTGTAACGTTTATAGAAAATGGTTCGAATAAAGCCTAGAAGCAGTTTAAAATTACCGTGAAAGAGATCCGTTTCTCTCAAAAGACATCAAACAACCAGAGCCGCCCCACTTCTTTAAATCTCGCGAAGAGTCACGTGATTTTTGGCAGTTAAATTTTTTTTATTAGCTCTACGGGGATTTTACCTTTTTCCATCCATCCATTCGCTTCCGCTTATCCTTTTCAGGGTCGCGGGGGGCGCTGGAGCCTATCCCAGCTGTCATAGGGCGAGAGGCGGGGTACACCCTGGACAGGTCGCCAGTCTGTCGCAGGGCCGATTTTACCTTTTTTCTTTTTAAAAAATATTTTTATATGAACTATGAATACTATCAATAAAATGTGCAAACTGAATCTCTGGCTTTTGGTGGAAGAAGCAGCTAATGAAATTAGTTGTCCGTGCAAAAACTACCCACTCATTTTTAAGTAAAGATGATAAATAGCATCAATAAAACATGCTAATTAAATTGCACTGACTTTTGGAAGGATTGCTAAATTAAATGAACTGCAAAAGTAAGAGTACATACTACTGATTACATGTAAAATTCCAGTACTCAAAGTAAAATGCTAACGGAAAAGTACACAGCTACTGGCAAAGAAGTAGTATGAAGAATAAGAAAAAATCTGAAATTCTTTAGTGATCTTAAAAGGTTAGAAATTATTGTATTAGAGCAGCGAAAAACAACAAAATGTAATATACTTATAATAAAATACTTATTTGTAACTGGACCTATTTGTATCACATCATATCATATTTTTCTTATATTAAAGCAGACGTTTTATTTTGTGAATAGATGGTTCATTAAAATATGAAAGAGTCAGTGTTTTTAGAATGCTTATTTACATTTATAAAACAAAAAAGGTTATTTTTTGCCATCATTTTACACACTTAGTAGCATGTGACTCTTATTTACCCTGGCACCATTTTTTTCCATTACGGTAACTGACTCACTTTAATCTTTGCTGTATATGAGCGTCATTACGGTAAGTGCGCTGCCTGTCAAACATGGCGCTGTCCTGTTCGAGTCTGTGTAGTCAACTGTCTTTAATCCGACACTGTCGTCTCGGTAAAAACAGGATAACACATGGTCTTTACTCTCCCTACGTGGTCTGTCAGTTCAGGTATATATGAAGCCGATTAACATCGTCGCTTCCATCATTTATCATTTTTGTTTTACTCGTGTTTCGTAAACCTTTGCTAAGCTAGCTATACCTACCGGCTGATAAGAGATATTGAAAATAAAATTTAAAATAAAAAATAAAGTACGTTGTTGATATTTTCATCAGAGCAATTATTATATCGTGATCGGTGCATACCCCAACGATAAAGAGTAATCATGTTTAATTCTTTAATGTACAAACAATTATTTTATTCCTTTAATGACAGATATCTTTCCTCTCTGACAGACTGCCCCTGTGTAGACACTACTCATCGTCCGAAGTCAGACGAGGTTTTGCTCGTTATGTTGCCTCCAAACTCCAGTGGGCTAATACCAAATATGAAGATTTCCTTAAAAAGCGATTTCCCCGCTTTTTTCTGCTCTATCACACTTTCGTGGAAGGTAAGCTCACGGTTTACTCACTCCTGAGGTCTCCAAAAAACTGCAGGAGAGCCCTGTGAGTCTTGTTAGCCCAACAATGAGGTTGGGAAACCTGAATAGGGACCAGGAAACAGGCTGCTGTAGTACATAGGCACCTTATATATGAAGGTTTTTGAAGATGAAAGTTGCTGAGAGAGAGAGAATTCAAGACCCAACTCATGATCAGAATCTGGAGTTAAAATAAGACATTTAATAGCCAGATTTCTCATATTCCATGGCCTTAATATGATCGTTTCACCACCTGGTCTACTAACATCAGGGTCCTCAGGGTCTTTACTTCCTGTATAGGTGTGTCTGCTTTTGTTCTAGAATTGAAAAGCCTTTTGGATGGTAGGTGAAATGTCTTCAAAAACCTAAAGAAGTCCAGTTGTCTTCTTTCAAACATCACCCCATCAGCAGCATTATATCCAGAAAACACTGTTCTTGTCCATCACTTACCCGAGCTTATTTTTTTCAGGTCTTGCAAGTCAAATTTTCATTTTACTTTATTAAAACTGCATTAAACAAGCAAACAAACATTGCATACTACATACTGTTTTTAATATACAAATGATTATACAATTACATCATTTTGTGGCCCCAATCTAAAGCGAACATCTACAGAGTACAAGCAGGCTAAGGAGTTGGTGTCTAAATAAACAGCATGCTACAAAGCACTTTGTTCTAAGAGTCAAATAAATTTTTTAAAATCTACAGTAATATTTAAAACAATTTTTTCTGTCACTCATTCCAGGATTCAAGCTACTGTTCCGAGATGCCAAAGATATCAGGAGGATAAAAGGAAAAATGTGGTCTGATGGAGTAAAGTTCCAGGATTTGCCTTACAGGGACATGGAGAAACTCAGACAGGTGGGTCTGTTTACCACACTGCACACAGAAATATCAGAATTTTCCACACATATTAGAAATGGAGGGAATCAAACTGCTTATAGCTCAGTGAAAATGAGTAATTTCTTTATTATTATTAAATTTGTATTAAATATAATTACATTTCTTTTGTTATTATTAAATCTGCAATAAGTCAGAAAAAAATTATTTGATTTTTTTAATCTTTCAAATTGCAAAAGTTTGGAATATACTTGATTTTGATTGTTAATATGATGCTATTGCTTCTGAGTGTAAAATTTTCTTTTGACTGCATTCTGTCTAATGGCCAGCAGGAGGCGAACCCTGGTTGCAAAAAGAAATTCCCTTGTATAGAAATTCCCTCTGCTTTTTTTTTTTTTTATCTGGGATCTTTTTAAAAATCCTTTCCTTCATACATTCACTCTTAGCAAAAAAAAGTTGCGTTTTCTATCACGTTATCTACCAAAATGTGATGCATTTTGTCACAGAAAATCCAATATAATCCTATTTTATTTAGATTATTGATTGGAGTATTATTAGTGTAATACCGGCAATGGGAATTCATGTCGGGTTAACACCATCTCCATGCACACAAATAAAACCAGTTCTATTTTGTTTTGACACTAATTGGCAAAACTGTATAAAATTTTAAAGGCAAATAAACTATCATATTATTTAGTGCAGCCATCAGTTTGTATTCATTAAAAGAATAAATAGACAGAAAAACAGAATTCAAGATCAAAATAACAAATTAATATATTCTAATTTAAACTCCTAAAATGAAAAGGCTTAAATCAACCATAAAAAGAAAAAACAAACACCCACTGTTTGAACCGGTCATAATGAGTTAATTCTGTCTGGTATTAGGTTAACAGGCGTGAGGATTTATCAAGATGCTAGCACTTCATTAGGGGTGGGATGGCATGCCTCAGGAGGTAGAGAAGGTCATCTACTTTATCAGCATTGAAAAATGTGTAATACTGATGTAAGCAATGCTCTTATTTATTTTTGGCAGCTTCTTCTTTTTGATCAGTTCAGTGGAATGTCTGTTTCCAACTCTTCTTGTCTTCTAAATCTTCCCTTTTCATGCCAACCATCAGCGTTTCCTGTCAAAACAACCGTAAAGCTCCTTTTTCTTTTGTTTTTTTCTTGCTTGTCAGCCTCATCTTCTGCATCCTTTTCCCGATAATCCCACTTTCTCCCCTCCACACATCTCAGCCGATTCATCTCTCTGACTTTGTACGTCAGGTATTCAATCTGAGCTATCGCTCTGAGTAAATACTAATGGTATTTAAAAAGAATTTCATAATCGCGAGGACTGTCAGAGCATCCTTTAAGGGGAGGGATTAGCGTTTAGTCACCCATTCTCATAAATTAGTGTAGATTTTGGTAGAGTTTCAATTCCTGTGTTTATGGCAGTGTAGTATTTTTAGTTTATGCATTGTCAGTGTTTCAGGGCTGTAATGTCTCACAGTAACTTGGCTCACTTGACTTGTGTTTGACAGTTTCGCAGAGACTTGATCAAGGCCATCCCGCTGGTGATCATATCCATCCCTCCCTTTGCCAACTACCTGGTTTTTGTCTTGATGTGAGTCCTCTTGAAATAACCATCTCATTTGATTTGCAGGCTTATTTATGTTGCTGTCCCTGTTCATTAATCATTTTCTGTCACTTATTGTGCCTCACTCTGCTAACAACACCTCCTCCTGCATCGACAGGTATTTCTTCCCCCGTCAGCTCCTGATCCCTCACTTCTGGACTCCCAGCCAGCAGCTGGAGTTTCGGAGAGTGTACCACTCCCTCAGAGCTCGGCACCACTGGCCGGTGCTCAAAGGACTTGAGTGCACGAGTCAGCAGGTCAAAAATGGTCACTTACAGAGACAACTTAAGGACCTGTGTTCAAAAGTAAGTATCGGGAATGTGTAGCAGTACTGCTTTCTGCTTTCAAAGTACACTAATCATTCACGAACAGTTTTTACAGTGTGGCCCCTTATAATGTTATCTTCCTGAATGTAGCACGAGTTATCAGGGAATAACTAGATATTATGTCTCAAAGTAACATCCTCATTAATGTCAGAACCAAAGATTTTTCAGCCGAACATTGCCCAGACATCACTTTTCTTCTACTGTCTTGCACTAAATCTGTAGCATATCCTGCCAGCACTCTTCCAAAGTTAAGGACACGCACACACATCCTCTTGGCCGTGCACATGATGTAAGAGAAAATGTGACTCATCAAACTGATCCATCTTCTTCTCTTGCTCAATAACCCAGCTTTGCACTTGCATAATCACTAAAGGCTATCCAGCTGATGATTTGGGTAGATTTTAGTGGTGGAGAGCCGAGAGCATGCGCACTATGACCTGTCTGTGGTTATTGTGCTCCATGCATGTGTCCTGTCAGCTTTCTTGGGTGCTTATAATCTTGTAAGCACCCAAGAAATCTTGTTGCTTGTCTGTGCTTGGCCTGCTTCTAGTACTAACCCATGCTTATTGGGGAAACACCTGATACCTGTGGTTTGAAGATGATCTGTGCAAGTGATCTGGCCATTACAGTTCTGTCTGAGAGATTCTTATGCTGTCCAATTTTTTTTCCCCACTTCCATGTCGACTGTGAAAACTGACTCCTCACTTGCTATTTAATGTATCCCCCCTCTTATTAAGACAATAGAAATCCTCACTCTAAATTGTCAGTGGTTTTAAAATAGTGCATTGTTTTTCTGCTCTGCTAAGTATTCTTTCGCACAGTTTTTCACTTCAAACTTTGGACACATAGCTGGGATACTTGGCCAGTTTGCGAGGATAACTGTCATTTCTTTTCATTAGAAAACTACAACTTATTTGTTAAATTTTAAACTGTTCATTATGGATGCACAAATAGTAAGTGCACCCTAGTTCTCATTCTTCAGTTTAATAAACATTGCAGGAGTCAGTCATGATGGTGCCTAAACGCCACAAAGTTTGGCTGTGAACTGTGTGAAACAGTACAGATTTGCAGATCTGTTCATTTCTAACCAGTACATGTATGTTTGATATTTGTTCAGGTCCAAAGTGGAGCAAACCCCAAAGCGTCTGAAATCCTTGCTATCCGAAGCCTGTTTTCTGGACCTCCTTTGGGTATAAGGAGGATGAGCGTTGATCACATGGTCAGTAAAACTCCTCCAATTTTCTGTCTCAGTTAACAGGAATGCAAAAAACTTAGTAAAGCCTTCGTATTCATGTTTTCATGGCTAATCAGAGACACATCAGCCCGCTGCTCTTCTTGACGCCACGGCTCCCCGGCTTCTTGATTGGCCAGCGGCTAAGCAGCCACGGGCTGGAGTTGCTCCAACTGGACCGGGGCCTCAGCAGACTGGGCGTTCACCAGCTGAATGACTCTGAACTCAGACAGGTCCATCACTCTCCATGACTTTATATACTGAGTGCCTTCCTCTTTAAGCCATTTTATAAATACTTGATGTTTTTCTCCTTTCAGGCTTGTTATCTAAGGGGCCTCAATGCTGATGTTCTTGGTGTTAACCAGTGTCGTGAATGGTTGTCCCAGTGGCTACAGGTGTCAAGCTCATTGAAAGGTATTATTATTATTTGGATTTGCAGTATAGATTCTTTTTTTTCTGTCACCTACCCTAAAGATTTTGATGAGAGCCAAAGAAAAATGACCAGAATTGTAATAAAAATAACTTTACCTGTTTCCTTAAGAGGATTTATGTGAAGAGAAATTTCCAGACAGAATATTGCACAGATTTCTCCCTAATAAAGTAGCTGAGACTTGATTGCTTCTACTGTGCTTACCTGTATAGTCAGCCCCACAATGTCCATAATGAGTCAGAAAAACCATGGATTAAAATAAAACAAAATAATAGTTCAAAATGTAAGTAAATATGAGCCTAAACTAAAGTTCTGGCTTTATGCATGTGTATGTGGAGCACAATTTAGAGTTGATGTGCTTTGTGGATGCTGTGGATAGCTGAAGTGCAGCACATCTGTTGGATGTACACTGCTCAAAAACATTAAAAACACTTTGAAAGGACATCCGAAAAGAAATCGTGCTAGATATTGATGTGGACTGGGTAATATGTTAGGAATGAAAGAATGGCATACTGTGTGATGGACATGGAAGTATCAACCTAGAGAGGGCTAAATTTAATGACACCCTGAAAGTTAAAGTGAAAAAGTTATTTAACAGGCTCGTCCTTTTTGCCAAAATTTAATCGATCCCGGTGCTGCTGATGGGTTAACGACCTTCTACAGCCTGTCCCCTGGAATCCACCTGTTCTTGAGACTGCACTGAAAGACACAGCAAAACTTCTGGAAATTGTACACATTAATGTGCTATCCTGTAGAAGTGGGACTACCTGTGCAGCCTCTATAGGGCCCAGGTATTGCCTCATGTTACCAATAGTGAGACTGACCCAAGCCATCGAGTGAAAAATCTGTCAGAAAAGATGAGAAGGGTAAAAATGTCACTTGCCCCCATGAGGTAAAATCATTCCTATTTTCATGGTTGTCTCATTGGTGCCCCTCCAGTGCACCAAAAAAGCTGAAAATGGTTATAAACACACTCTGCTACTTAACTGACCAGATCAACATCCCAGAAGTAAGTGTTCCTAAAAGGTGTTCCTTTAATTGTTTGATCAGTGTATAAGGCTTAGACTGTCCCACAGATCATCTCTGTTCCAGTTTTACTAAACTCCAGTGTATCTGTAGCCAAATGAGTGGAATGAGTCTGTACTGCTATTTGACATGATTCCAACAGATGGCACTCCACTTTTTGTTTCGGTAAACCAGGGGTGTCAAACTCCAGGCCTCAAGGGCTGGTGTCCTGCAGGTTTTAGATATCACCCTGGGTCAACACACCTGAATCAAATGATTCGTTCATTACCAGACCTCTGGAGAACTTCAAGACATGTTGAGGAGATAATTTGGCCATTTGAATCAGCTGTGTTGGATTAAGGACACATCTAAAACCTGCAGGACACCGGACACTGAGGCCTGGAGTTCAACACCTGCGCTCTAAACAAATGAAACACCCTGCAGATAATGGCTGATGAAATATACTGCATGTTTATCTAACATATAAATCATCTTTATGAAGAGTAACCAAGCCTTTCTCCTTCTATGTACTGCAGTAGTATCAAAGTAGCTCCAGAAACGGTCTCACTCAAGAACATGTGTAGTGACAGAACAGAAAATTATTTAAGTTAATTCTTATTTGAATATGAAGTGTCTGTTTGTACTTGAATGTTAATACTCAGTTCATTCACTAATGCAGGACTTTACTCTAAAGTTAAACATTTAAAAAATACTTAATCTGAAAGGGCATTTAATTGGAACCAAAATTCTATATAATTCAGCATTACCTGTGCATGTTGCATTTATTGTTCAGTACATGACCCTAGATGATGAGCCGGTGAACTTTCTAGAGGAGGTGTTTGGTGCACAGCTTATGGCCCTAACAAAGCAGTGTGAACAGCCTGATAAGTGCACAATCTGCTGCTCTACAGATTTATGCCAAGTCAAGGAATAAGATTTTTTTTGACACTAACAGCATTTTTTTTTCTCTCATAATTCAGATTCTGCTGACAATTACATTTGAGCAGGCTTTGCTTTTAATCCAAGTACAATTCAGAATGAGAGCAAGAGGGATTGCATTTGCCAAAATGCATCTGGAAACCATCAGGCTATTGTCTATCTTTTTAATCAGCTTTATCAAGATATTCTGCATTCTTAAGTAGCGGCCGGACACAAAAATCTTGGCTCTTTTAGGTTATAACGGGAGGCTTGAAAAACTGTTTAGAGGCTGAATCTGCTAACTAGCTAATGTAATAAATGCACATTGTCTCCACACATTAAACAATATAGGAACTACTTGTTCTACGTACAATAGTCAAGACAAAATATCCACTACCTTTTGTGACTTAAAGATCAGGCTTTGAGTTATATTTAAAGCATTTTGGGGGGTGCTTTAAAAGACCTTTTAAGTATTTCCTAAATGTTGCATGATTCTTTTATAGCTATTACATTAGCATGTATTTTTTACTTTCATTTTTGCAGACTCAGAGGTGTCACTGCTTTTGCACAGCATTGTGTTTCTCTCTGCAAACTACCCAGGTGGTCCCAGCCATCACTGACAGGAAGCCACATGCTATCTGCTGTTGTGATTATACTCTCTTACGTGCAATGAAAAGCAAAACTTTCCAAGAGGTTTTCAACAGCTCCTTTTTGGAAAGGAAACAACATTTTAAGGGTGTTTTTGGCAAGAAACCATTTCTATTCAAAGGATTTACCACAAAAAAGAAGCCTTTGCAGTTGCAGTTAATAGCATTTAAAAACAAGATGAATCCATTGTCATCTATTAGACATTAGTGCTATACTGGTGATGTGGAAGTAATGTCATGATTATCTATTGCTATATGTGAACCTTGTTTGCATGTGTGAACTGATACATGTTATTACACTGTTTAAGTTCAGCAGTTCTTTTTGTTTGGTGATATGCTCAGACACATTCCATTTAAAAGAATTACATTAAGATGGGCATGTTTGTTTTTACATTTCACATCAAACATGTCCTGTGTTCTTTCATGCCAGTACCTCACTTTGTGTTTTTTTTTTTTATATACTTTGAATATTGTTTACCATGATCAAGGTTGTGGGTAACAGGACTTGTGGTGGGTAATGTGGAGATGAAGAGGCGTTATAACTTGGTTGACGTCAAACAGCAGTAGACAATATGAAAGTCCCTGAGAGTAACTATGTAAAGAAAAAGCCCACTGGTGGCCCAGCTGTAAAGTCATTGAAGCTTGCTTGTGTGATGAGATGCTGAACGTCTTGCACGTTCTCAAAGTTTTTGGTTTGTGGCACAGCACACATTTCTGACAAGATATCACTTTATTGTTTACCTTCTTATTTTTTTGAAAGGCTGGAATGACATTAACTTAAGTGCAAAATTTGTTGTAAGCCCTTCGCCTGCTTTCTGGTTACTCCTACGAAGAGGAAATTCCTGTTGTATCTGCTGGTGACTTGTGTAAGTGTAAAACTGAACATGTCATCGCTTCCTGTGCCTTTTGCAAGAGCACACAGAGTTTATCTGAAATAGAAGATGCAAAAATTATGTTGTGTTTTTTAAGATTTTTTTTTATTACTTGCTCTGCAAATGTTCAGTGTTGTGTTGTGCCAATATTATATACAATATCTTGGAAATGTGTCTGAAATAAAAATCTTAAAGGTGCATTTTCCTCCTGTATAACTTTATACAGAAAATTCAGCTGAAATTAAAAAGGTCTTTAATGAAAAAATTAAAAACTGGAACCCAGTACGACGTATAAACACCAAAGCAGTTCAAAGCTTAGAACAGATCCAGGAACACCAAAATAAACTCACGTTTACAACAAAGCAAGCAAAGTTAAGAGAGAACATTCACTTATGCTAATATGACACTGTACATTAATCTCCATTTCCATTCCATGTACAGCATCAAAGCAGAGCCATTAACTATGAAAATATTATCTGTATGAAGAAAATTATATTCTGCGTTTTATGTGGAAAGTATGATGAACATTTTAAAATATCCAAGTGAAGAACTTTGTGAGTAGTCCGGACAGTCAACTCCTCTTCTGGTGTTGATCACATAACTTCGTAGCCGTCCCGGATGCCTTTGATCAAACAGCAGGCAAACACAATACCGAGTAACTGGAAGGAAGAGAGAAAACGGTCATCATTTTTGTTTACAACTTTTTAAAAACTAAAAGTCTGTAGAGTCCAGAAGCAAGATGAGCAACAACACATTACCATAGTAACAAAGGAAAATAAAATGAGCTGATAGACTCTTGAGTTTAAGAGCAAATTTTGTTTAATGGTGTTACATACCTGCAGGATAGCAATGACAACCGCTGCTACTATCACCCATAAGATGTTATTCTTTAGAAATGTCTCCATAGCAGCACTACAACCCTAAAGAGAACAAACAGAAAAGTTAGAATTGATCTCCACTGTATCTGAGAAAGGTTAACTCAGAGTACACTCTGTATGCTTGTGGGCTTTTTGCCGTTTCGTTTTTCTTTCCTCCTTCCACATTTGAGGTTCTACAAATCACATAGTGTGACAATGAGAGCAGCTACCTCAACCATTTTCTCGTGCACGTAAAGCAGTAAATCTTTTTTTGTTTGTTTGTTTTAGTCACTAATCTCCTGGTGGAAAATTTGTTTCAAAGATTTAACTTTGGAGGTACTCTGTTTGCCAGTTGTATAGTCTGTGAGAAAACACAGACTATACATTTGCTTTGTAGCCTCAAACACTTTCCTTAAGAGTTTATGACCTCAGACACTCATTTAATAGCACAAAGTCCATTTTGTAAATTATGCTCACTACTGGATTCACAAAGGATGATTAACTAGTGCGCACTCATTGCCTAACAACATATCAATCAGTCGTTAGCAGATGAGTTTGCAGTTCCAAATCCTTTAATCCTTTTGTGTGCTTGGCACAAAGCAAGACTGTTACGCAGCTGGAGTAATGTTTCTAATATTTACATGCCATCCAGTTGCAGTTTGGTAACAATTATTTACTGTATGTCTCTTTAGCTTGCCAGATATATATATTTTTTACCTATTTAAGCAACATGCTGATAACATAGATGTTTTACTAAATAAACAGGACTTAAGAATTAAGAAAGTAAATTTCAGGTTAAATAAACTTAGAAAGAAATTGACCCCTGTTTACCTGCTGATACACTTTGTCAGAGTCAGTCATGGTTTCTATTCCACAGCCTTTAGTGACATTCTTGCAGCATGAGTCAGGCACAGAGTTTTCTTTGCTAGTGAAGTTTTTCCAGTCAGAAGAACCGTTCACACCGCAGCATTTCAGCTGGAAAATGCAAACAAGTCTATGAACAACAGCTATGAACTTGAGATGTAGAGTAAAATGATATGGAACACATTGTGCAAACAGCAACAATATCCTGTCACACGAAACTTACCAACAGGATGCAAAATGTTTTGACAGGGTGGTACCATACTAACCAAACAGTGAACAGGAACATTTACAGTGAACTTACGTTATGCTGAAGATTGTCCACGGTCTCTTTGAATTCTGGTGTGCTCTTTTCGTACTTGGCGATCATGTCAGTGACGCTATCGTGGACGATAGTTGAGAGCTACACGGGAGGCACAACACACACAACATTGCAGCTCAAATTAAAACCACACCTTCTGCAGGGACTCACATAAAACAGATGTATTCAACACTTACCTTGTTTCTGAAGACGTATCCAACAATTGCTGCTGCAATCTCAACGATAACAATCAGTGAGAGAAGGACAGCAAACTGAGGGAGGAGAAAAGGAACGAATGAGGAATTGAATGATCTACCTGAGTGGTTGTCACACAAATAAACAGCAATTTTTACAATGAAATCTCGTGCAAAAAAGTTAACAAAAACAAAGTTACTGCATATGGTGCTGTGTGAATTACCGTGGTGACCATGCAGTGGTTTTCTTTGAAGGCTCCACAGCAACCAAAGAAGCTGATGAAGAAAATCACCACACCAACTCCGATCAGGATAATGGGAGCTGCCGAGGCAGTGGGATCAGTGATCTTGAGGGTTTTGTTAAGCGACACCTGAACCATGATTCCTACCACAATCAGTGCTAGGCCACATAGCTGCAAGAATAAGAAGTTAGGCTAGAGTGAATTCATGGGGAAAGGTTTATAATTTGTAATGTAATATTTTATTTGGCTATTTGACAAAAGTATGATAGCAAAGAAAAGCAACAATAATTTGATTCTTATTAGCAGCTAAACAATAAAACTGTACCAAATACACTTGTGTTTTTATACACCCAGGTACTTGACTTTGATAGGGATCAATCTAGAAAGTGTCACACCTGTGTGCCAGTTATGGAGGGTGAATACCACTACTTTAATAGGTGTATGTTAACCTTCTCTGACAGTTGGCAGCAATGCCAAGGGGTAATGGTAAATGGACTGATTCTTATATAGAGCTTTTCTAGTCTCCTGGAGTACTCAAAGCGCTCTATACAACATGCCAGTCACCCAATCACCCCCATTCAAACAAGCACTTTCTTTCTATACTTAGTGCTTCCTAGCTTCATTCATACACATTCATATTCAGATGGATGCATCGGAGAGCAACTTGGGGTTAATATCTTGCCCAAGGATACTTGACATTCAGACTGGAGGAGCCTGGGATCAAATCACTAACCTTCCGATCAGTAGGGAACCTGCTCTGCCTCCTACAGCCACCTCAAGGGGGGACAAATTTCCCAAGACAAGTTTTTTATCTTAATATAGCTACTACAAATTTTAAAGATTGAAAAAAAAAATTTCTGATTATGGTATCATTAAATCAATTTGATTTTTATATTATTGTACTTTTTCATTTCATGTAAGCAAACAACATGAGAAAGGTCTAAAACAAAAGAGGAAGTTGCAACATTTTTCAGTCCCTGAATGCGGATGTAAAACGATCAGATGATACAGTGACACTGTCACAGTGTCACTGTCTGGTTTGGGTGATAAGAGCAATTCATTCGATCTTTTACAAACACTAATGTCTGACCGCAATCAGCTGTGTCCTTGAGCAAACTGTATTCTTTTTACTTCTATTCCCTTTTAACTCAGTCCTGCTACTTTTCTGATAAACAATTGTTCAGTTGTGCACTTTTTCAAGAAAAAAAAATT